GTCAGGCAAAGGAGGCTAGAGGGGAAGGAAGGCCCCTGAGCCTTTTCAGATGGCCCCTCTACTTTCATAGCAGTTGAGAAAGTCCCCTCCTATTGGAGGGTCTCTTGCAACCTAGACCTGAGCATGGCTGGATGTAACTTCCCAGATGAAAATGAGGAACAGCAATTCCAAGCAAAGGAGAACCGTGAGTCACTGGGAGGTGTGTGGCCAGGAAGCAGCTCACACCCACTCATGTGACCCCAGCCAGGAGTCCAGCAGTCTTTCAGGGGAGAAGGAGGCGCCTTGAACCTACCCCTGGGAACCTGTGGTCACTGACTGAAAATGGGCCGCTTGCCCCTGCCCTGCCCTGGGCACTGACTGCCGACCCAGGAGAAGAGATGAACAAGTGGGGTCCTATCACAGCCCACCAGCACATCAAGGCCAGGAGTGAGAGAAAACCCTGAACCACTGACCCYGCTTCACACCAGCATAGGATGATGGCCGCTGGGCAGGTTCTTGAGGCAAGTCCCAACAGGAAGCTCAGAAAACGAAGCAACAGACTCATGAAAGCAATTGCATTGCAGTTGACTTTTCTTTCTGCTCAAGTTTGCTTTGTTGTTCTCGTGTTTGCAAAATAAACTTCAGGGCAAGGGGTGCCCACGCAATTGCTGCTGTACTGGTACTGCCACCACCACACTCTGAGTCCTTAAAACAACCCCAGTTTGTTATTTGACAGTTCTGAAGGTCAGCGGTCCAACTGGGGTCTTGCTGGGCTAAAATTCAGGTGAGGCAGAGCTGAGTTCTCTCTGTGTGCTCAATGGGAGAATCGATCCCATGGACTCTTCCAGCTCTGGGAGCTGCCTGCATCTCTTGGCTTGTGGTCCTTTCCACCACCGGCAGTGCCAGCAACACTGCATGTACCTGACCTTTCTTGTATTGTGGAGTCTTTCTGACCACAGCAGGGGAATGTCCTCCCATTTTAAGAATTTATGTGATGATGTTGGGCCCACCTCGGTAATCCAGGTCATCCAGGATAACCTCTCCATTTCAGAATCTGTTCTTGTTTGTTTTCCTTTTTAGTACTGGGGATTGAACTCAGGAGCACTCAACCACTGAGCCACATCTCCAGCCCCATTTTGTATTTTATTTAGAGACAGGGTCTCACTGAGTGGCTTAGTGTCTTGTCATGGCTGAGGCTGGCTTTGAACTCCTGACTCAGCCTCCCAAGCTGCTGGAATCACAGGCATGCGCCACCACGCCCAGCCCTGTTTTCCATAGTCTTTAATTGATGCATTATAGTTGTACATAATGGTGAGATCAAAATCCACGCTCTTGATCACCACGCAAAGCCTATTTTTCCAGGTAAGGTGATGTATACATTGCCACAACTCCAGGGAGTACAATGTGGACATCTTTCGGACCCTTGTTCTGCCTACAGTATCTTTTCTTCTCATTGATCTCTCTTGTAAAAAGACGAAATTACAACAAACTTAGTGATAGGTCTAATTGGCTTTTGTGGTGATTGGTGAATTGGGGCAGCCTCCATCCTAAGAAGTGGAGTAGGGCTCCCACCCAGCAGGAGCAAGGTGGGGCGAGGAAACAGAGTGGCAGAAAAGGAACTGGTGAACAAGGTTCTTCCAGGTAACGTTTTTCTAAAGGGTAAAGCAAAGAGACTTCATTTTCATGCCAGTTGAAAATAATCTATTTGGGAATTTGGCTGTTATCTCTCTRATTCTGATTTCTCGGAGGGTAGACAAACAGCTTAATTCTGGTTTGGTGACATGGAAGTCTGGGATGAATGACTGGGCTTTGGTTTTTAGTCTAGTCTGTTGGGGCCCAGTATAGGAGCCCATCCCAAAACAATGACTTCCTCATATTTTAGGGAGGAGGGGAATAAGAGCAAGCAAGGCTGATTCTCATKTTAAGTAGATTCAGTTATGGAATAGCTCCATCAATGCACTTCAGAAATCTTGCCATAGAGTTCTCAAATTTGGATATTTAGACAGTTTTATTTTTTCTTACATGCTATATAATAATGAATGATGAAGGGAAAAATCATTTCCTACAAAGTTAATTGTTTACACATTCAACAGAACAATTCATTTCTTTTTTGGGGGAAGGTACCGGGGATTGAACTCAGGGGCACTGGATCACTGGGCCACATCCCAGCCCTATTTTGTATTTTATTTAATTAAAAAGTCTCACTGAATTGCTTAGCACCTCACTTTTGCTGAGGCTAGCTTGGAACTCACCATCCTCCTGTCTCAGCCTCCTGAGCTGCTGGGATTACAGTACACACGCCACTGGGCCGGGCTTCCAGAATAATTCATTTCTTGTTAACCCTGAACAATTAATTCATAATTTCAGGCAAGTCTCTGTAGCATTCATTTTATTATTATTATCATAAACATTATTATTTTTATTGTTTATTTTTATTCATTTATTTTATGTGGTGCTGAGGTTTGAACCTAGGGCCTTACATGTGCTAGGMAAGTGCTCTACACTGAACCACAACCCAGCTCTGTAGCATTCATTTTATTGTACAGTGGAAACAATAAAACATTGTTACATTTAACAAACAAAACCATGGAATTCTTTTTGCATTTATTTATATATTTAGGGCTCACACTTGAACTCCGGGCCTTATGCACACGTTCCATTTTTGCTCAACACTCTAAAAAAAGTGGATTTTATATCTTTTGTGGAAAACATTTGCATCATAATAGGAAATACGGCTAAACTAGAATTTTTTCAAATATTTCAAATCTTTTTGTTTTTATATATCTTATCTAATTCTATTTTATATTCTGAATATTTGTATACAGAAAAATGCAAAGACACCTCCAAGTCACAAGTTGCTTAATTCCCACGAACCAAACACATCCATGTAAGCAGCACAAAGATGAACAAATGGCTGTGTGGAGCCCTGAGTCCTGTTCCCACCCTCTTCCAGTCCAAGATATTACTTTACATTTGCTGATGTTAGAAAATTCCCTGCATGGCAACTCCGGGAGTATTACTGACCTAAGAAAGGGGGAGTCCAAGCGAAGTTCATTTGTTCTTTCAACAAATCTTTTCTGGCACCCATGCTGGGCTTGCCAGGGAAAACGGGATGAGGGATCAGTTGCTGGTCCTTTGGCCCAGACTCAGGGAGGCAGGCTTGAGGGGTGGGGTGGGACTCCTGCACAGTCACTGAAAACAAGGCTTTGGCCAAGCCACCCAGAGGGCCTCCAGGGAAGAGTCTGCTGCAGGCAGTTAGAGTCCCAAGAATACAGGTGGGGACCGGCCTGGGCAGAGGGATAGCAGTAGGAAGGCCGGTGAGCTGTGCAGCTGGGAGGCAGAGGGTTGGCCCATTGCACTGCCAGCCTCTGTGTTGTCCGCTGCCACCAGTGCAGACCAGTGCTCAGGCGGGGCTGCAGATGCAGAACTGGAGGCCCCAACCCCCACAGAGTCCCCATGTTACAGATGGGGATGCAGGCCCAGGTGAGAAGGGAGGTTCAACCAGGGCCACCCAGTCACTTCATCCATTCCCTCCTGCACACCCTTTTTCAGAGCTCCTGCCTCCTGTGCCTGGCACTGAGGACAGGAAAGTCAGGCAGGGCCCTGCCCTGTGGAGCTGAGGAGAGTGCCTGCTGCAGGGAGGACACCAGTCCTATGAGATCTGGGCGCCATGGTATGACCTAATTTAACTGTAATTACCTCCTGATATKCGTATCTTCAAATGCTGTCATATGGGGGTTAGGGCTCTGGCATATGAATCTCAGGCAAAGTCCTAGGCCCGGGGTACAGCCATGCAGAAAACAGACCTTCCCCGTGGGAGAGTCAGGCCGTCAGCAGAACGTCTGCTTGGATGTGATGTGCAGAGGAGGTAAGGGTGCTGTGCGGTAGAAAAATAAGCATCAAGGGGACAGGGAGGGGAGAGGGCGTTTTGGAAAAGGTAGTCAAGGAAGGCTCATTGAAGAGGTGCCACCTGGGTCCCAAGGGAAAGGAGCAAAAAAGTTTTGGGAGGATGAGGAGAAGAGTACCCCAGGCACAGTGCGCCGGGCGGGCAGTGGTGGGACTGGGGTGGCAGTGAGATTTAGCTGGCCAGGGCTGGCTCCACCTCCCCCTGTCCTGGCTGCTGCTTCCCTGGGTCTTCCTCTCTCAGCCCACGGGCCTGCAAGACCACTAGCCCCGCAGACCTCGCCCACTCTGGCCCCTCAGACGCAGTCAACTGAGGCCGTCAAAACACGGAGACCCCCACACCGTTCGCTCTTCAGCCGCGTACAGCCACTGGACCGCGTGGGTGCAGAGGGGTCAGTGCAGGGCGGGAGGGACTTTGCCACTATGTCGCCCAGGAGACCTTCTTCGCCGGGATCAGAGGAGGAACTTCCCCTTAGAAACCAGGCGGAAGGTTCCCGGAAGACATCAGCCCAGGCGGCTTGGTGGAGGGGGAGGGCAAGGAAAGGGCGGTGACAGCATGCCAACGTCGCGTGGGGCGGCGGCGGAGGGGCGTGCGGACCTCGGAGCAGGGCCTGGAGAAGGTGGGCGCCGAGGGAAGGGGACAGGCAGCGCGGGACACGAGGCCCGAGGCTGCGAGGTGGTGCGGGACCCGGCGCACGGCTGGAGCACGCAGCTCTGGGCGCGCCAGGTGGAGCAGGCGGCCGCGGGTGGGCGGGGGCAGGMGCTCTGGCAGCGGGGGCGGGGCCAGGGGCCCGGAGGCGGTTCTGGGCGGGGCCAAGGCGGCGGGGGCGGGGCCGGGCGGGGCGGGGGCGCGCTCGGCGGTGGCGGCGCGCAGTGCGCTCGCCTCTGAGGGCTCGGCGGGCGGCGGGGACGGCGACGGCGACGCGCACAAAGGCGGATTGTGGCTTCACGGGTGCTCGCGGCGGGCGGCGTCGGGGCGGGGGCGGCGGGGCGCGCCGGGGGCCCCCGCGGGCGCGGCGCGGGCGATGAGCCGGGGCCCGGCATGGCCTCCGCGCGGCCGCCGGGCCGGGCCTGTGCCTCGGCGCCGCCCGCGGGGCTCCGGGCCGGGCCGCCCGCCCTCCCCGCCGCCGCCGCGTCCCCGGAGCCTGCGGGCGGCGCCGAGGCCGAGGAGCGCTCGCTGCAGCACATGCTGCGCGCCATAGCGGAGGAGCGCGGCCGCCTGAGCCTGCGCCGCGAGGTCTGCGGCCTCGGTGAGTGGGCGGCGGGGCCAGCGGGGGCCGGCGGGGTCGCGAGCGTCGCCCGGTGCGCCTCCGCGCGGCTCTGCGGGCCGCGTTCCTGCTGTCCGCCTCCTTGCTGTCCACCTCCGTGTGTCTGCACCTGGGTCCCTGCGTGTCCGCCCCGTGTGTCCTTTTCTGCGTGTCCCTCTCCGTGTCAGTGTGCCTCTGCAAGTCCATCTCAGTGTCTCTGCGTGTCTGTCTCTGCGTGTCCATCTCGGTGTTTCTGGGTGTCCCAATCTGCTCTCCTTCCCTGCATCTAGGTCTTTCCTGTGTCCCTGTGTCTCCAGCTCGGTTTTTGGTACCTGCTAGAGTGCTCTGCACCTTTGTGTYCCCCTTCTTTTTCTGCTTCCCAGGTCATTTGATGTCTCCCTCTGTCCATTGGTATGTCTGTCCCATCTCGATTCTTCCTCTTGGTGGTTCTGCAAGTGGCCTTCCTTCTCCAGGAAGCCGTCCTGGGGGCCTCCGTGCTGCTGCAGGGAGTGAGATTTGGGGACACCCTTAGCCCGGCAGGCAGGGCAGTGGACCTCCCCAGCTCACATGGAGGGCCATGTCTCTGGCTTGCTGAGTCTTTGTCTGTACCTGCATGGCCCTCTCCTCCAGCCACTCTGCCAGGGACCTGTTGGCCTCTGCACCCTGAACCCACTGGCTTGGCTGGTGGATGGGGGATTGCTGCCTCTCTAGGTGGATCTGTTCTAAGAACCCTCGTCATGCATCTCCCGGGTGGTGTGGGTGGGGATGCCTCTTATTGTTTGAAAAAGGGCCTGGGACTGCAGGTGTGGGTGGGGTCTGCTGGCCTGGCTGTGTGTGAGGTCATCCATATTGATGGATTGCACCCCCCACCCCCAAGCCGGAAGGAGCCCCCTCCCCCGTAGTCTTGGTTTGTCATTTTCTCCATGAAAAGACCCCTCCCTCTCCAGGCAAGGAATGACTTCATTCCACATTGTCAGCAGCCCCTCACCCCACCCCTGCCTGGGCTGGGGATTTCTGAAGGGACAGTAGCCTTTCGCATTGTACCAGTGCCCTATGGGTTCACCTTTCTCAGACCCCAGGACGGGATGCCTCCCCACTGAGGTCAGCAGCAGCAGGGGCCTCAGCAGGCCACGCCCTGGAGGCGGAATCCCGTGAAGGCTTTTTGTGGGAGGCAGGCTTAGCACCAGGCTTAGCTTCTCAGGGAGCAGGTCCCAGCCCAGTCTGTCCAGCGTGAGTGCTCTTCTTGATACGGACCGGTGTAGTGGGGGTGACTTCTGAAGTGGGGACGGACAAGAACAGGTTTCAATGGTTTTGTCTCAGAAAAGGTGTCCAGATATGGGAAGATCTTTATTAATTCATTCAGCAAACATTCCCTGAGCACCTACTGTGTGTCATCCTGGCAGACCCACCTGTCACCTGGCACAGAATGTCTGAACTAGGAGGGGTCTGAAGACCATCTGCTACAGGCCCTCAGCCCTGCAGGCTCAGCCACTCCAAGCAGCCCCTCYCCACTTAAAGCACTGCCCTCCGTCGCCTTGACCTGTGAGCATCTCTCCCCTCTTAGATGTTCCCTGCCCCAAGGAGCCTGCAGTGATGGCACCCAGCATTTTCGAGGCTGTTGGTATGTGCAGGTGCTTTGTGCGTGTTCCGACAGTTTCATCCTGACACACTACTTAATGCCTTTGCCAAGTGGAAATATAAGCTCCTTGTCACCCATGAGTAGCCTTCCCAAGGACAGCAGGGAGGAAGTGGCACAGCTGACTGACCCCTGGCTAGTCTGATCTCACAGCCTCCTCCCTCCCCACGTCCCCAAGTCCCCAGCCAGGCCTGCTGTGCTTACAGCTCACACCTTTACCTCGCGGTCTCCCCTCCCTGCACCCGCTCCAGCTCCCTCACGTGGGCGCTCCTGTTACCAGCTCCTGAGCTCAGTCCCTGGCGCTCTCACCCCTGGGCTTTTTTGTGTGCTGTTGGCACAGACAGCTGCCCCTGCTCCTTTGCCTCCCGAGCAGCCCCCGTCTTCCTGTAGGTCTCAGCTCCAAGCTGCTGCTGGGACCTTCCTGGACCCCGCAGACACTCCTGCTCTGCTGCTGCTCATTCTCTGTGCTGGACGGTCAGGAAGCCGAGGTGTTGTGTGTGTTATGACAACTGTGGCATTGTAAGGGACTGTGGGACTGGCCCTGGAGACAGAGCAAGTGAGCTCCTCAGGGCAGTGTGAGTCTTATCAGTGCTTAACACGAGGCACGGACCGAGCAAGTGCCCGATAGACACCTGGAGAACAAACGCGAGGACTTTTGAACTGGCAAAGGAAGGGTGTGGATGACCAGGAGGCGGAGTCGGGACTCTGGGAGGGTCCACCTCTGTAAGTTTCATCTGAGAAATTTGATGTTCCTAGAGAAGAGAGCTTACCAGGGACATATACCAAAGCAGAGCAGGGCCTGATGTTGGTCCCGTCACCTGGAACATGGGAACCCACAACACCTGAGCGCTGCACGTGCACCAGGTGCTCCTTCAGCCTCTCACCTGTGGGGTCAGGATTATGGTTTTGTTCTTATGATTTTAAAATTCTGTTTCTGTTCTTTTCCTTTGGACTGCATTTTCTTATCCTCTCTTTACAGCTGTGACAACCTGTTAGATTTATGAATGGATTTACTCATTCTTTGTGGTACTGGGATTGAACGCAGGGCTTCACCCATGCAAAGCACAAGCTCTGCTGCTGAGGTGCACTTCTGGCCCGCTCGAATGAATTTAAATCTCCCAGATTTAAAAAAACAAAATAGTTTGAGTTGTACATGGACCCAGTGCCTTTATTCACTTATTTTTGTGTGGTGCTGAGGATTGAACCTAGTGCCTTCCATGTGCCAGGCAGATGCTCTGCCACTAAGCCGCAACCCTGGCCCAAATCACCCAGATTTTGGTGGTGGGGTTTAATGAAGGCTTTGGTCACTCAGAGCTGGTTGTGGCCTCTGAGGCTGTTTGAAGGTGTCCAGGGAGTCTCTGGTGGAGCTGCTGTCATCTCCGAGTCAGTGTCTGTGAGCTGGAATAAAGCTACGGGTCCCCACGCCAGGTCACTGCTGGCTCTTAGGATGAAAGGCACTGTGTAGCTGCTGGCTGACGTGACTCTCATTATGGTGGCCTCTGGTAGAAGTCTTTCTTGAGCACTTGCTTTGTGCCAGGTGGGGCTGACCCCAGTCCCTGCTTGGTGAGAGGGCACCGTCTCTGGGGAGAGAAACCAGGTGTACAGGTGGCTGCTACCAAAGTAAAAACCCTGCCGGAAGCAGCCAGGGCCGTGGCCACGCCCAGCAGGATTTTGATGTTGCTTCCATAGCAAACTTTTAGTTCCGGGTGAAAAATGAGCCCCTCTGGTGGCTGAGGTGCTTCTGTAGGGCTTTAGGGTCTCTGAGTGGGACTGATCCTGTGGTTCAGTGCCCAGGTGTGCAGTGCAGACATTTGAACCAAAGGTGGACAGATGCTGCCTCTTCTCCCAAGAYGTGGGCCTCCTCCTGGGCTCTGAACAGCAGCCCAAGCACACCAGGCAGTGTGTGCTCTGGACCTGGCTGGGTGTGAGTCCTGAGAGGCTGGGACTGTTGGAGCCGTCCATGCCTGGCGTTTGGGGCTCACCTCTGTCAGGTGGCATAGGGTCCTCACCTCTTCTAGAGTGCTGCAGGTCTAAGGAGTGGGATGTTTTGGTTTGTTGCTTGTTTGTTTTTGGTACTGGGGATTGAACCCAGCATGCTTTACCACTGAGCTATATTTCCAGTCTTTTTATTTTGGGGGGAGAGGGTCTTGCTAACTTGCTGAGGACCTCACTAAGTTGCCTAGACTGTCCTTATATTTGGAATCCTCCTGTCTCAGCTACTGTCTCTGTCTCAGTYGCTGGGATTAGTGGTGTGCACCACTGCTCCCAGCAAAGGAGTGTTTTGTGTTCATTCTTTTTTTTTTTGGTACTGGGGATTGAACTCAGGGGCACTTAACCACTGAGCCACATCCCCAGCTCTTTGTATTTTTTTTGCTTAGAGACGGGGATTCAGTCATCCTGTCTTTGCCTCCCCAGTTGCTGGGATTACAGCATGCACTACCGAGCCTAGCCAGGAAATCGACCTTTTTGGTTTTTTTTTTTTTGGGGGGGGGTACTGGGGATTGAATGCAGGGGCTCTCAACCACTGAGCCACATCCTCAGCCCTATTTTGTATTTTATTTAGCGACAGGGCCTCACTGAGTTGCTTAGCAGCTTGATGTTGCTGAGGCTGGCTTTGAACTTGTGATCCTCCTGTCTCAGCCCTCAGAGCTGCTGGGATTACGGGTGTGGGCCACTGCGCCCGGCTGAGTTCATTCTTTTTTTTTTTTTTTTAATTTTTTCATAGTTGTAGATGGACAGATTGCCTTTATTTTATTTATTTGTATATGTATTAGTGCCTCACACATGCCAGGCAAGTGCTCTGCCATTGAGCTACAGCCCCAGCCCCTGGCTGTGTTCATTTTTTTTTTCTGTATATTTTTTTAGGTGGACACAATATCTTTATTTTATTTTTATGTGGTGCTGAAGATGGAACCCAGTGCCTCATGCATGCCAGGCGAGCGCGTTACCACTTGAGCCACATCCCCAGCCCCTGTGTTCATTCTTTATACTTGGAATTAGTTTCTGAGGCAGGTCTCATTATACTCTTTGTCCCGACAGAACATAGCTTGGGAGGGGCTGTACTGTGCCCCCAGCCACAGGGGTAGAAAGTGCTGGGCGCTGCACAGAGCTGCAGGCTGCCCTTTCCTGTCCTCTGAGTGCCAGCTGCCCGGCCACTGATGGGCTGCCTGGCTGAGGAGGATCATGGAAGGACCAGTAGAGTGTGAGCTCCCAGCCAGCTGGAGGGTCCCTGAACAGGGGCTGTGAGACCTGCCTGATATAGGAGCAGAGGCTCCGGTGGCTTAGGTGGCTGGAGGGTCCCTGAACAGGGGCTGTGAGACCTGCCTGATATAGGAGCAGAGGCTCCGGTGGCTTAGGTGGCTGGAGG